TATACTACCCAAATTTTTTTTGTGTGAAAGATGTTACACCAAGTAAATAAGATACCCAACATGTCACACTTTGCGTAGGCTAGTGGAACGGTACGTACAATTCTCCACAGGCAATGCTTTAAACGCCTTTTACAGGTTACCAGTTTAGAGTTACACAGGAGGTCTTTCACTAGAATTATTGTTCTTGCTTTTATGTTTGTGACAATACGTCACACGTGTGATGCAATCAATCAATTATTTTTAATATTTTATCTAAAAACTTTTTTTTTTAACACTGTCTTTTTTTTTTTAATATATATTAACCACTGGGCACTTTCACCCCCTTCCTGCCTAGGCCAATTTTAAGCTTTCTGCACTGTCGCACTTTGAATTACAATTGCGTGGTCATGCAACACTGTACCCAAACCAAATTTTTATAGTTTTTGTTTTTAGACCAATAGAGCTTTCTTTTGGTGGTATTTATTCACCACTGGGTTTTTTATGTTTTGCTAAACATACTAAAAGACACTGAAGATTTTGGGGGAAAAAAGTTTTTTTTTTTTTCTTTAGTTTCTGTTATAAAATTTTTGTATATACCGTATTTTCCGGCGTATAAGACGACTGGGCATATAAGACGACCCCCTACTTTTCCTGTTAAAATATAGGGTTTGGGCTATACTCGCCGTATAAGACTACCCCTCTTCCAACACACACCAAATAAAAATGAAAAAACATCAGATTTGATTTCAATATGGTATGCTATTTCAGTATGGTATTCCAATGATGGGGTGCTATTCCTCCCACTGACACCAATGATGGGGCGCTATTCCTCCCACTGATACCAATGATGGGACACTATTCCTCCCACTGACACCAATGATGGTGCCCCATCATTAGTTTCAGTGTGTGAGGAATAGTGCCCCATCATTGGTATCAGTGGGAGGAATAGTGTCCCATCATTAGTGTCAGTGGGAGGAATAGCGCCCCATCATTGGTATCAGTGGCAGGAATTGCGCCCCATCATTGGTATCAGTGGCAGGAATTGCGCCCCATCATTGGTGTCAGTGGGAGGAAAGCGCCCCATCATTAGTGTCAGTGGGAGGAATTGCACCCCATCATTGGTGTCAGTGGGAGGAATTGCACCCCATCATTGGTGTCAGTGGGAGGAATTGCGCCCCATCATTAGTGTCAGTGGGAGGAATTGCGCCCCATCATTGGTGTCAGTGGGAGGAATTAGTGCCCCATCATTGGTGTCAGTGGGGGAATAGTGCCCCATCATTGGTATCAGTGGGGAGAATAGTGCCCCATCATTGGTGTCAGTGGGGAGGAGGAAAAGTGCCCCATCATTGATGTCAGTGGGGAGAATAGTGCCCCATCATTGGTGTCAGTGGGGAAGAGGAAAAGTGCCCCATCGTTGGTGTCAGTGGGGAGAATAGTGCCCCATCATTGGTGTCAGTGGGGAGAATAGTGCCCCATCATTGGTGTCAGTGGGGAGAATAGTGCCCCATCATTGGTGTCAGTGGGGAGAATAGTGCCCCATCATTGGTGTCAGTGGGGAAGTGAGTGTCAGTGGGGGAAAAGTGCCCCATCATTGGTGTCAGTGGGGAGAATAGTGCCCCATCATTGGTGTCAGTGGGGAGAATAGTGCCCCATCGTTGGTGTCAGTGGGGAGAATAGTGCCCCATCGTTGGTGTCAGTGGGGAGAATAGTGCCCCATCATTGGTGTCAGTGGGGGAGAATAGTGCCCCATCATTGGTGTCAGTGGGGAGAATAGTGCCCCATCATTGGTGTCAGTGGGGAGAATAGTGCCCCATCATTGGTGTCAGTGGGGAGAATAGTGCCCCATCATTGGTGTCAGTGGGGAGAATAGTGCCCCATCATTGGTGTCAGTGGGGAGAATAGTGCCCCATCATTGGTGTCAGTGGGGAGAATAGTGCCCCATCGTTGGTGTCAGTGGGGGAGAATAGTGCCCCATCGTTGGTGTCAGTGGGGGAGGAATAGTGCCCCATCGTTAGTGTCAGTGGGGGGAGAGGAGCGGCTGCTCCTTCTTTCCGTTCGGCCGCTCGATTTTCGTGGGGCCGCTCGGCTCTGCCTCCTCGCCAGTGATTGGTCGCCTGTGTGCCTTTCCAGTGCTGGCGACCAATCACCTGTGAGGAGGCGGAGCCGAGCGACCATCGAGCGGCCGAACTGAAAGAAGGAGCAGCCGCGCTTCCTGGACCGGATCGTCGTGGGACCGGGACCGGAGCCAGGTAAGGTACAGCAGCCCCTCTGCCCACCCCTGTACTTAGTGTCCGTTGGAGGAGGAGGGGGGGCGGCGCCGCGCCACCCCTCGAAAAAGTGCCGTTCTGACACCGGCTCACCGTATACCGGCGTATAAGACGACCCCCCCCGACTTTTCATCAGATTTTTATGGGTTGAAAAGTCGTCTTATACGCTGGAAAATACGGTAAGTAATTTTTCTTCTTCACTGATGTGCGCTAATGAGGCGGCACTGATGAGGAGATACTGTTGGGTGTGGGCCGCACTGATAGTTGGCACTGAAAGGCAGCATTGATGGGCACTGTTATGTGGCATTGATGGGCACTGACAGGTGGCACTGATGGGTCTACACTGATCGGGGCACTGATGATCAGTGTACATGTCCTCTCCTGAGGAATGCTGATTACCAGCTCTCCTCACACACTGTCAGCGTGAGTAGGGGACTGCCGATAACTGGCATTTCCTATTTAGATGCGATCAGCTGTGATTGGATGGACACAGCTGATCACGTGATAGAGCTTACATCATCGGCTCTTTACTGTGATCGATGATCCGCTGTGTCCCAGGGACCCAGCACCCCACCAATTTCCGCACGCCCCTAGAGTGGGAGGATGTCATATGGCGTCCTCCCAGAATGAGAGAACCACTGCCCATCTGTCATTTCCTTGTATGGTGGGCAGGAGGTGGGTAAGCTATCGCAAGGGATGAACAGCATCTCCTGTGATACCATGGGCCGTGACAGGTCTTCTTTATAGAGTGATTGCTCCTCTGGGCTTCAGTGCAGCTGATCAAACACAGATTGGTCTGATTGGCTGCTTTCCTGGTTGCTAATGGCCATGTAAACAAAGATTTCCAGGCGAACAGAGAGGGAGGAACCACATTGGTTCACCTGTCTCTTGTGTAGTACCGCCGCTCGCAGTGCACTCTCAGACTCTGCAATTGGACGGGAGAACCCGAGTAAGGAGGTGGCGGGAGAAGGGGGATCCCCTTCTGCCGCCCCGCAGAAGTGATCAATTGGCTGTTTAGTGCTTAGAGGGGAATAATCGGGGGGGGGAATTAAAGGCTAAATGTTAAGAAGAAAAAAAAATTCAGGAGTTCTATAAGGGGTATCAGGCAGACGTCATCGTCCTCTGCAGCATAAGTGATATATTGAGTAAGAGATAGATGTGTGTTGGGAGGAGGGTCAACCGCTGGCTGACGTGAGATCTGATCCAGGTGTTGGTCCCTTAGGTGGAGGAGAGGCCATGTTGTCCTGGTGGAGGTGTGTCGAGTGGATGGCGCTGTCTCTCCCCTCCTCCTCCCCCCGACCCTCTTCCTGCCTGGCCCCCTGCCGCTCTGATCTCCTCAGTCCAGCCTGCATTATGGAACTCTCCCTGGGCCGGCGAGGCGCAGACATCCTCCCGAAGGACCCACAGCAGGACTTGGGGGCCGCTGCCTGCAAAAGTGACTTGATCACTACTGCTTAGAATAGGAATCTGCAGGAATTGTCTGGGCAAAAAAAAAAGAAACCTAGCTGCTTGCCTGCAGCAGGGCTAATGGTAAAAGAAAACCACCTGCCCAGCACCCTGAACTGCATGTCCCAGGCGTCGGGCGATATAATTTGCACATCCCTGACAGCAGTAAAGACTGCAGTGTCCAGCAAATGGTGGTATTCTCCATTATAAATGAGCTCCATAGTATTTTTTGTGTGCATGCGCAACATAAAAAAAAGTTCAAGTGGAACTGCACTGCATCTGAACACCACAAACCAAAAATGCTATTTAATTCATTTTGAATATTCAAAAGCAAACTCCCCATCCATTTGTGTCTCCATGCCTTATTTTGCTGAGAAATTATTTTGAAAAACGCCCCCCTAGCATTTCTGGCAGTGGCCATCTTGAGTAAGGGCAGATGGCTCATGTATCATTTACTTCCTGTAATCCATCTGCCCTTAGCTCCGATATAGGCTGAGCTGAGAACCCTTCCTCTCTCTCTTCTCCTGAAGACTGATGGGATGTATGACATAATTTGCCTAGGCATGGAAATCGGGAAGTAACTGAAGAAATGTAAAAATAAGTTTAAAACCAGTAAATATAATATACTTTACTATGTATTTACAAATGCTAGCAGTATAAGGATTAAAAATACTGTAGTCCATGTTGATTGAGAGAGTGACATTCCACTTTAATTGAAAACTGAAAGCAACAATCTGTATATATTTTTAGGGAATGTACAGTATAAGGGTTCACCAAAGACATGTAGCAGAATACAGTTTGGCCAACAGTTCTGAAGACCTTTTTTTTTTTTTAATTTTTTTTTTATTGGACATGTTTTATAGCAAAAGGTGGTTTTTTTTTTTGTTTTTTTTTTTTTTTTTTTTTTTTTTTTTTTCATTTTATAGCGCAAAAAAAAAAATTCGTTGATAATCAAATACCACCAAAACAAAGCTCTGTTTGTGTGGCAAAAAATATATATATTTAATTTTGTGTACAGTGTTTCATAACCACGCAATTGTCAGTTATATTAGCGCAGCGTCATATAGCAAAAATGGCCTGGTCATGAAGGCAGGGGGGATGGGGGGGGGGTAAATATTCCAGAGGGCAAGTGGTTAAACAGCTAGCCATGACCAGGTTTAGGTCTGCTTTTATTGTACTGCCGGAAGGTTTCTTTAATTCAGGTTACAATCGATTCCCTATGTTTGTTTTTGCATTCTGGTTACAGTCGATTCCCTATGTTTGTTTTTGCATTCTATCCTGAAATGTTACCCTTTTTTATGTTTTCAGAGTTACCTGTTCCAGTTATTGCAAGGCTTGGCATTCTGCCATTCACACCGTGTTCTGCACAGAGACTTGAAGCCGCAAAACTTACTCATCAATTCAGATGGAGCTGTAAAGCTTGCAGACTTTGGCCTTGCCCGGGCCTTTGGGGTGCCTGTGAGAACCTACACACATGAGGCAAGTCCTGTTTATCATTTGTCTAAGAGGGCTTATCAGAAGATTTGAGAATTGATCCAACACCACCTCTGATGGTCAGATATTATTCACTTAGATGACCACAGTGTCATATAGAGAAAAAAAATATTTTATTATCCCTAAGAAGTGTTACACCAGCTTTAGTTGTTTTTGCTCATGTTCTCAATGGAGTAGTTTGTGACCTAGTAGCAACAAGATAAGAAATGTAATGTATTGGTTGCATTATGTTCCCTTTTTGTTTTAATATTTTTTTTTTTAACAACCTCCCGCCTGCCATATAGTAATATGACGGACGCAAGGTGGTTCTCTCATTCCCCCGGAGCGCGCAGCGCGGCGATCGACGGTGCGCTGTGTCCCTCGGACACAGCGGATCACCGATCCACGGAAAGAGCTGAAGATGTCGGCTCGGACATGTGATCAGCTGTGTCCAATCACAGGTGATCACATGTAAACAGGGAAATGCCGGTAACCGGTATTCCTCGGAGGTGACATGTACACAGATCATCAGAGCACTGATGATCAGTGTGCCCTGATGATCTGTGTAGCCCCAGCAGTGACACCTGTCAGTGTCCATCAGTGCCAGCTCTCAGTGCTCATCCATGCCACCTGCCAGTGTCCATCAGTGCCCATCTGAGCTGCCTTTCAGTGTCACCCATCAGTGCCAGTCAGTGCCACCTATCAATGCCAGTGAGTGCCACCTATCAATGCTGTCAATCAGTGCCGTCTATCAGTGTGCATCATTGCCTGTCAGTGCTGCCTGTCAGTGCCGCCTAACAATGCCAGTCAGTGCCATATATGAGTGCTGCCTTTCAGTGCCCATCAGTGATGCCTGTCAATGCCCATCAGTTATCAGTGTCCATCAGTGCTAGGCTATCAGTGCCCATCACTGCAGCCTCATTAGCGCACATCAGTGAAGGAGAAAAATCACTTATTTACAAAATTTTATAACAAAAACTAAGAAAAAAACAGTTGTTTTTTTTCAAAATTTTCAGTGGTTTTTAGTTTGTTTAAGAAAAAATAACAAACCCAGAGGTGATTAAATGCCACCAAAATAAAGCTCTATCTGTCACAAAAACAATCATAAAAAATTTCATATGGGTACAGTGTTGCATGACCGCGCAATTGTCATTCAAAGTGTGACAGCAGTGCTGAAAGCTGGAAATTGGCATGGGCAGGAAGGGGGTATAAGTGCCCTGTAGGCTAGTGGTTAATAGGCTTCAAAATGCACCCCCCCCCCCGTCCTTTTCAATTTATTATGATCTTGTCTTTTGGACAGCAGTTTTGTCAATCTGGGAGAGATGATGAACTTTGAACTTTACATGGGCTTTAATTTGTTTGTAACATTTCTACAGCCCCCCACCACCCCACCCCCCTTTTTTTTTTTCTGGGATAAGGCTTTCAAGCATAATTCTGGTCACTAGAGAAAAATTACCACTGCAATGAGTGTGGGCAGTGTACAGTCCAACAGGCAGGTAAGAACACTTTTTAAAACAGAAGAAACACAGTGGGGTTGATTTACTAAAACTGGAGAGTGCAATATCTGGTGCAGCTCTGCAAAGAAACCAATCCGCTTCCAGGATTTTTTGTCAAAGCTTAATTGAACAAGCTGAAGTTAGTGGTTGATTGGATACCATTCACAGCCGCACCAGATTTTTCACTCTACAGTTTTAGTACATCAACCCCAGTGTGTCGCTTCTGTGTTAAAAAGCCTGCCTGTTCACTTTGTCAATGCTGTGAAATTGTAATTGTGGAAATGACTGTCAATTGTCCTTTTATCAGGTGGTGACGCTCTGGTACAGAGCTCCGGAAATTCTTCTTGGCTGCAAGTACTACTCAACAGCTGTAGATATATGGAGTCTGGGATGTATATTTGCAGAAATGGTATGTACATTTACAAATAAAACATCCCCATTCAATTGAAAAGTTGTTTCTTCAGTGCTTTAAATCCTATTAGATTCTTCATTCTCTATAGGTGACTTTCTGTGTGCTAATGCCTCTTTATAGAATGTAACCCTGTATTAAAGCAATGTAGTAGCTGCATCGTGTTTGGTTGATTAGGCCACAGCTTCATTGCTGTACTACAGTGTACTGTTTTGATGTGATTGTGCTCCTCTTTGATAGATATAGTCTGACTTCATATAAAAGTACAAATTGTATTTTAAAAGGTGTGGTCTATATTATTTGGCAAACGTTTTGTGCATGTTTTACGTTATATGGCTGCAAGTGATCTGTCACTCCCAAAAGTCAGGTGAATTGATTTCTGCAATAAAATATAGCAGTATGTGCTTGATGGCTTTTGTACTTTACAAACTAAACCCAGGACCCTGCATTCACTATATCTGGTCTCCCACAGTACACACAACATGGAAATGCAATTATTTTAGTAAATATAAACTGCTAAATGCCTTTTCTCAGCAGAAGTTAAAACAGTCTTGTGACTTCAGCAGAGCACTGGTTAAAGCTTAAAAGGGGAGCTTTCTTTATGCTCTAGGAGGATGTAAAAACCCCTGACCTCTGTCTAGACAGTGCTGATTGGCCCTGTGCTGATCACATGCACCCTCCCAAGAAAAAAAAAAACCTCTCTAGCAATACACACCACACTGAGCATGTGTATGTGACTACAGATTCAGTCTGTATCAGGTGGTCATTTCAACAAGAGGAGGGGCAAAGAAGAAAGGATCAAACAGCCTTTTTACACAATGCAGAGGATTAACCCCTTAGGTTCCACAAGCATGCTTTACTGCATATACAGACTGATTTTACTGTTGTGGGTTTAGTGACACTTTAAAGCAGAACTACACTGCATCTGAGCACCACAAACCAAAAATGCTGTTTTAATTCATTTTTTAATATTCAGAGCACACTCACCCACCCATCCTTCCATGTCTCATGGCTTTTTGGTTTTTTGTGTTTTTTTTTTTTTTTTTGCTGAGAAATCACATTGTAAAACGCCTCCCTAGCATTTCTAGCCATGGCCATTTTGAGTAAGGGCAGATGATTTATGTAACATTTACTTCCTGGAATCCATCTGCCCTTAGTTCAGGCAGGAGGATAGGCTTAGCTGAGAGAATCCCTCCTTTCCTCTCACTGAAGACTCTTGGGATATATGGCATCATCTGCCTAGGCAGCAACCAAGATGGCTGCTTTGTAAATTAACTCCTCGGCCGCCGGACACATCGGCCAATTTTCTCTCCTCAGGGGGGGTCCCCCTGTTTCCTCCCTGGCCCCCTGTCTCTCTGGTGCCCTGATGGGCAAAAAAATGCCGGCCGCCCGTGCCTCCAGCTCCCGGCAGGCTGCTCCGGAGTTTGCGGCCTACCCGCCGGAGATCGCGGCTGAAGCCGGGGCCTCGATTTTGGGCCGGCCGCCGCGGACTTCCAGGACCCCGGCCACGGGTTCGCGGCTCCCGCCCGGGACCTCAGATGGAGCCCCAGCCGCGATTTTGGGTCCCCCCGCTGTCACCATCCATAGGTGGGTCGGACCCTGGCAGTGTAGAGGACCCGGCACCAGAGCCATCCCTGCAGTCTCCCATCCCATCTCTGCGGGATGCTGAGCTCCTGCGCCGATTCCAATGTATGCTGCAGTCCGAGTTGTCCTCCGCTACCTCCAAGCTGGCCGACCGTCTTTCGCAGGAGATTCGCGAGTTGGGCAACCGGACGAACGACCTCGAAGATAAGATGGACGCTGCGGCCACGGTCATGGAAAATCACGAACAGGATTTGTGCGACCTCAAGAAAGAATTGGCGGACGCGCTGCTACGGCTTGAGGATTTCGAAAATCGTTCCCGCCGTGGCAATCTGCGGTTAAGGGGTATCCCGGAAACGGTCGCGGATCTTACTTCCACTGCTACAGCTCTGTTTCAGGAGCTGACACCCGCTGTTCCCATTGACCGGCTTGAATTTGACCGCATACATCGTGCGTTGGGCCCCAGACGACCGGATGGGCCCCCGAGGGACATTATCATCAAGTTTACGTATTACCGCACTAAGGAAACTATCCTCTTGGCGGCCAGAAACAACCCTGACCTCAGCTTCCAGGGGCATCGCTACCAGCTCTTTGCGGACCTCTCTCAGACCACTCTTCAGAAGCGTCGCCAATTGAAGCCCTTCACTTCGGTCCTGGTGAAACACAGTATCAAATACGCTTGGGGCTTCCCGTTTCGCCTTACCTTCACCTACCAGGGCCGCAGTCATTCTGTGGCTACGCCGGAGGAGGCCCATTCTCTTCTGGAATCTTTACACCTTCTTTCGCCTGAGGCTGCGGATCGGAGCCCAGCTCATTCATCTGGATCCCCGGCAAGGCCGCTTCTTCCAAGCCGCATCTGGGAGCGGTCATCCAATAGGAAGAGGGCCCTCCCTCAGACCTCTTCACGATCAAGTCCTTCCTGTTCTTCTCCGGGCTGAAGATGTGTCTTGGACTTCCCATGTATCATCTCACCGATGGACTTCCTTGACGGGACCGTGAGTTTGGCCCTTAGGGCTCCCCCAGTTTGTCAGCATTACGGGTTGGGACTGCTCCAGTGTGCCCCCTTGGGTTCCTTCCCTGGTTGGGGGGGTCTCCTCATGGATTCGAGAATTATGACTTTCTGCTGCCGCAGCCTATTTTGGGCCTGGGTGATGGTATTCCGGTTTTTGTTGGTAGCACGGAGTGAGGGTTCCCTCTGGTTTCGGGGTGGGAGGTTGATCTGGTAGGCCCGGTTGGGTGGGAGGGGGTTAGCCCCATGGTTCTCTGGGTTGCTATGGGGAGGTCATCACGGTGGCCTAGCTCCTTTAGTTTTATTGCTTTGGTACCCCGTTCTATTGTGTTTAGTGCCTTATTGCCCTTTTGCCCCCTGGGGACTTATGTTTCTGATGTTTCCATTTGCAGCCATGTGTCCGGTGGTAGAGCCACCCCTAACTGGTATCCTTCCTTTGTAGGATGCACGTCACCATTGGCGTGACACGATTGCACTATTGTATATTCTTTTTGTGTCCTTTTCCTTCTTTCTTTCTTTCTTTTTTTTTTTTTCTCCTTTGTTTTTTTTTTGTTTTTGTTTTCTGCAGGGTTCCGGGACGCCACGGTCCGATCGCCATTGGGAGCGGAAATTGCTAGCTGCTTTATGGTTTCTTCTGCTGAGCGTGTTGCCCTGATGCCGCCATGGCCTCGCCCCTTTTGAAAATTCATTCGCAAAATGTTCAAGGCTTTAATTCGCCTCAGAAGCGGGCTAAAGTTTTTCATCACCTCAAATCACAACAAATTGACGTGGTATGTTTACAAGAGACCAGGTTTTCTCAGTCCTCCCCCCGCGTTATCTTTCACCTCACTATCCCACCTTTTACACGGCCTCGGCCCCTGAGAAGCGTCGGGGTGTCCTGATCGCTTTTAAACGCAATCTCCCCTTTGTCTGTGCTAGGAATATAGCGGACCCCACGGGCAGGTATCTGCTTCTGCAAGGCACCCTCTGGGATCAGGAGGTTACTTTTGTCTCTTACTACGCGCCTAATCGTTTTCAGGATAAATTCTTTTCACATCTTTGCACCATTGTTTCCCGACACTCCAAGGGTCTTCTTGTTGTTTTGGGGGATTCAAATGTTACTTTGGATTCCGCATTGGATAGGCGCTGCGCACGGGGGGCGGCCCCTTCTCATGACTTGGTGCTGGAGGAACGTATGCGCTCTCTCCTGCGGACAGCAGGGCTGGCGGACGTCTGGAGGGAGCTTCACCCAACGGAACGCGACTTTACATTCTATTCCAGTCCTCATGATAGTTTTTGTAGAATTGATCATATATTTATGCAGGTTCAGCAGCTTCCCTTGGTCAGGCGGATAACTATTCCCTCCTCGCCTTGGTCGGATCACGATCCCTTGGTACTTCTCCTTGCCCTCTCTGGGTCAGAACGGCGCCCTTTTCATTGGCGCATCAATGATTCTTTATTGACCACTCAGGCTACCTGCCAACAAATAGAATTTTTTTTACGAACATACTTCACGGAAAAAACGCGGGATCGGTCTCCTCGGCAGTGCCCCTATGGGAGGCGCATAAGGCCACGGTGCGGGGTCATGTTATACAGCTGGCGGCGGTCCGGAAGCGGGAGCGGGAGCGCCGACTTTTGGAGCTTCATTCTCTCCTGGCCTCTGCGGATGCGCGTTGGAAGTCCTCTCCATCTGCGGCCCATAAACGCGCTCGGGACGCTCTGGCGGCAGAGTTAGACCTACTTGCCTCTTCAGAGGCGGAACGGGCCCTGCGTTGGACCAAACACAAATTTTATTCCTGTGCTAATAAGCCAGGCCCGATGCTGGCCAGGAAACTCAATTCTGTGGGGAAACCCCATAAACCGATTCGACTGCGACTTCCTACAGGTGGCTGTACTTCTAATCCCCAGCAGATTGTTTCCCGTTTCTCAGACTTCCTTGCACGCCTCTACGCTAAACCAGATCCCTTCCCCGTGGCTCAAGCAGAGGCATTCTTTCAAGATCTCCGACTTCCTGGGTTATCCGAGGCAGCACAGGTGGCACTCAACGCCGGTGTCACTGTACCAGAAGTGCTCCAAGCTATCAAATCTTTACGGTCCACCGCGGCCCCAGGTCCCGACGGCTTTTCCGGTCTTTTATTATAAGAAATTCTCAGCCTTGTTGGCGCCCTTTTTGGCTGAGTATTTTAATGCGTTACGACAGGGCTCCTCGCCCTCCCCAGATGCGCTTAGAGCGCATATCGCCATGATTCCTAAGACGACCGATGATGTACAGGAACCGCAAGCCTTCCGGCCTATTTCTCTTCTTAATGAAGACCTGAAGATATTGGGCAAGATCCTTAGTTTCCGCATTAATAAATATTTGCGTAGCCTGGTCCACAGGGACCAGGTAGGGTTCGTCCCCGGGAGGCAGGCGGGTGATAACGTTCGTAAGGTGGTCCATCTTATACATTTTCTGCAACAGCGGAAAATCCCGGGATTCTTACTGTCTTTAGACATATATAAAGCCTTTGATTCTCTATCCTGGGAATATCTGCGGTTTGTGCTGTCTCGTTGGGGTTTTGGGGATTCTATTCTTTCTTGGATTCAGGCCTTGTATTCTTCTCCTTCGGCCTCCGTCAAATACGCTGGGTATTTTTCAGATCCCTTTCCTATTGGGCGAGGGACGAGACAGGGTTGCCCCCTGTCCCCAGCGCTCTTTGTCCTGGCGCTTGAGCCGTTGGCTTTGGCGCTTCGGACCGATTGCAATGTATCGGGGGTTCCTTACGCGGGACAGGAATTCAAACTGAACCTTTTTGCGGATGATGCCCTCCTGACTCTTACTAACCCCCTGACGACGCTTCCTAATTTGCAACAGGTTCTTGAGCGCTTCTCCTTGATTTCGGGTCTCCGTATCAACTTGGATAAGACTGTCGCCCTCAATATTACTTTGGCTTCAGATTTGGTTTCGCGCCTACAATCCCACTTCCCTTACAAATGGGCTTCCTCTTCTCTTGAATACTTAGGCATTCGCTTGACCCCCACTTATGACTCCTTGTTTGCTGCGAATTACTATCCATTGCTTAGCTCTCTATCCTCTCTTATGCATTCTTGGCAATTTCCGCACCTGTCTTGGATAGGACGGGTTAATTCGGTGAAAATGACCATCTTGCCGAAATTGTTGTATTATTTTCGCACACTCCCGGTGCGGGTTCCCCCTCATTTTCTTCGGTTGCTTCAGGCGAAGTTAATGCGTTTTATCTGGGCCGATAAGCACCCCAGAGTATCCAAAAAGTACGCTTTTTGCCCATAGACTTCAGGGTGGTCTTGGGGTGCCTAATGTGACTAAGTATTATCAAGCAAGCCAGATTGCCCCGCTGTCTATGTTGCACGCCTCTTCCGACGTCCCCCTCTGGGTCCTGTTGGAACTACCTAATTGTGCCCCTATCGCACTATCGACGCTTCTATGGCTTCCCCCTGCCCTGCGCCCTATGGCACTGAGTCCGATGTTACTTCATGGCCTACAAGTTTGGGACTCGGTGCGTTACTCTGGTGGTCTGATGTCACCTTTTCTGCCTTTGCTCCCAATTATTAACAACCCTCTTTTCCCGCCGGGTTTGGATCACCCAGGGGCGTTTTCTTGGTGGGTGACTAATGGTTTTTCGCAGGTGCGACACTTTTTGATTTTTCGGTCCTTTCCCACCTGGGACTCTCTTCGGGAATCCCGGAATATCCCCCCGGCGGAATTTTTTCGATATCTTCAATTGCGACACTGGCTGCTCTCGCTGCGGGGTACTTCTGCGTTCCCGTACCAGAAATCTGCCTTTGAACAGCTCTGCCAACTGCGTCCGGGCGCTCCGGGCCTTATATCCCTTCTTTATGCAGCTCTGAACAGACGCTCGTCGCATACTTCACTTTCATATGTTGTTCAGTGGGAGCGCGACCTGGGAGTGGCTGTGGATCCGGAGGACTGGAATAAGGCCTGGTCACTCATAGCTAAATGCTCATTTAATACGACCACACTGGAGGCAGCCTATAAGGTATTGTTTCGTTGGTACTGGGTTCCGGCTCGGCTGGCCCGGGCTAACCCTGCCTGTAGTGATCAATGTTTTCGGGGTTGTGGTCATCGTGGTGATGTATTACATATCTGGTGGTCATGCCCGAGACTGTTTCGTTTTTGGTCTCGTGTATTTGGCCTCCTTTTCACCTTGTTCCATCTCTCCATACGCCGGGATGCTCGGTATGCCTTGCTTCATTGCCCCATACCGGGCCTCTTAGCTCACCAGCAGAAGTTGGCTTCCTATCTGTTTTTATCCGCCACTAGAACAATTGCTCAGGCCTGGAAGAGTCCGTTTGTCCCTCTTCAGGGGGTGCGGGATCGTATGACCACTATGATGCTCAACGAACAGATGTCGAGTATCCGCAACGACTCCCAACGTAAATTTTTGAAAATATGGGAGCCGTGGTTGCAATATGCCCTTCCCTCACTCCCCCCGGCTAGTCTGGGGATGTAATGGCGTTCGGTGTTGGCGCTCTTGAATCCCTGCTCTTTGCCCCCCCCCTTTTTTTTTTTTTTTTTTTTTTTTTTTTTTTCTTTTTTCTTTCTTTTCTTTTCTCTTTTCTTTTTTCTCTCTCTCTCTGTTTTTGGTGTGACTGGGCAGCTGCATTTAGTTGTTATAACCAGTTACATTACTGTTTTGTAACTTATGTGCCATTGATAGCCCCTGCGTGGGCGTACCTTTTGCCCTGTTGGCATTAGAGCATTGTTTTTCCTTTTTTTTTTTATTTTGCATATTGTTTATCTGTGCAATTGATAGCCCCTGCGTGGGCGTGTTTTATTGCCTCTGTTTATACTGTTTAAAATTTAATAAAAACCACTTGAATGTGACTTTTCTATGATAGCAGTGACCCAGTGCTTCCTTTTTGCCTAGGGGTTGGGAGGGCTCACCCGACTGTGATCCAGCTTTCGTACTAAGCTCTGCTGACAAAGGAATGTGCCTAAAGCAAGCAGTTGTGATGCTCCTTTAAGGATATGCTGAAGTGCCTTATGATTTTGTGAAATCATTTTAATAGGCAGTCTTGTGGCTGCTATTGAAATAGCATACTAAATATTTAACAAAGTGTTAAGATGGCCGGAATTTGTAGATAAGTAGGCCATAAATTAGCAGTTGTATCCTCCGCTTCAACAAGAAGTCTGTTGTTCTTGCCCTTAATAAATGCCTGAATGTATCATGATTCTTCACTGTAACAAAAAAACATTTCCTATTGGGAAATTGGGTCATGTGTAACTAGCTTTCGTTACTGTTTCACACAGAAGGCATGATTGCCTTAAAGTGTTACTTCTGGGTTGAATAATAGCCGGAGTCATTCAATCCACATTCTTTGAGCTCAGGGCATCAAGTGGTATGTTTTATTACATGTAAATAAGGGGTAAGGTTAGGGTTATGATGGTGTCCTTGTGTGCTCTGCTGCAGTCAAAACATTCTCACAGAGAAAGTTGCTAACATTATGAAGCACTCCTTAACATCCCCTTTCCCCCTTCCCAAGAAAATTAGTTTACAGCGTTCTGACCTTGCATGGTCCTCCTTCAGTTTAATTGGGTTTTTTTTGTTTATAGTCACAAGCTTAGTTGGATTAACTTTTATAATGCATTGTGTAGCTCACAATATAACGGCAGAACTTTTTTTTTTTTTTTTTTTTTTTTTTTTTTAGTTGTGAATAGAGTGAAGAGTGATTAGAACACCTGTCAGGTTCTTATTGCTGTCTGTGACCCCGTTATGGATATTCACCCTCTCTATTTATTTGTCCTGCTTACTGTTCTCATAAAAAGTGGAGCTAAAAGAAAATCTCAACTTTTGGTTGTCCCCTAAAAAGTAATATGTGTGGAAATCTTCTAGTGGGGACACTACCTTTTGATGACAAGCAGGGGTTCCCTCACATTGGATGGAATTTTTTTCCTGCTTCCTTTTTCAGGGACAGGAAATGAAGGTAAATCTCCCCAATGGGACATAGATGAGGAAAAAAACATGACGGAGATTATTAACCTGGGAAAATAAAGAAAAAAAGACCAGGGGGTAAAGGACCCAGAGGCTAAAAGGGGGTCCAAATGAGGACAAACTGCAGATTATTAACCTCCCAACTGCCTGAGTGTAATTACATGCGAGTGGGTTCAATTAGCTGCAAGAGCTGTCAGTCTCCCACTTCATTTTTTTTTTCTGCGATTGGCTAAGTGTACTGTAATGGGCTAAGATCATAGTTCTGCCTCTGTTGCTATCTATCTTGGATAACAGAAGTACTGTGGGAGACAGCTCTGGATTGAAAATGAATATTACAGCATAAGTAGCTCTCCTTTTAGTTTTTTGTCTGGAGTTCTGCTTTAAGTTAAAAATTCTACAGCCAGTGTTTGACTGACATGAGTCACAGCAAGTATGCAAACCTGAGAACTGATATGCAGGGGATCTCACCACCAGAATTCCTTAGACGAAAAAAAAATCTGTACGGTGGCTTAACTTTTCAGCACTGTTAACAGTTGAAATTAATGCTTTGGTAAATTGACCTTTGTTTGGAAGACAGTGGTACCAACTCAAGATTGAGTAGATCTTCTTTTGTGTTTGTAGATCACCAGAAGAGCTTTGTTCCCAGGGGACTCGGAAATTGACCAGCTTTTCCGTATATTTCGCACACTGGGAACTCCAGATGAGGCCTCTTGGCCAGGTGTTACTTCCATGCCAGATTATAAATCCACTTTCCCCAAGTGGGCTCGGCAAGACTTTAGCAAAGTGGTTCCACCGTTGGATGAAGATGGCAGAGATCTTTTAGCTGTAAGTGCCATAAGCCTTTATCATATTCTACAAAATGCAATAGTTACTTTTCTAATGTGAGTGCCAATTTACTGTCTGTTTCTAAAGTATTAAATCCCATTTCTTCATAAATTCAAGCCAAAATGTATTCTGCTACATGTCATTCCTTTTATAAAAAAAAAAAAATATATATATATTTTATTATTATACAGTATTTATATAGCACCAATAGGTTTGCTCAAAGGGTTTGTATATTAACTGGTTTGTGTGAAAGTTAGAACATCTACATGCTATGATGTGTATGTATACTGGAATTTACTGTGACTAATCTGGCACTAATAGACACTGGCTGGGAGGAACACTGATAGTGACATAGCTAGTGACACTAATACAATGATCAGATATAATTTTGTACTAATAACACTGGCTTGAGAGGGTTAACATCAAGGTGTTAGCTGTGTGCCTAACAAGTGTATTGTGTGCTGCTTTTACTCACAGATCAGGCTTTTTTTTTTTATTTTTTTTTTTTCCTTCCCTGCTTTTCAGGGAGAAGAAACAGCCAGATTGCTGTTCTGTGTGTTTGTAAACCCAGAACTCTGTGCTGTGATTAGAGACAGCTGATCAGCCAGGTCAGCAGGGGGTTGTATATTTACTGTGAGTAGGTCTTCAAGTAGTTAATAAGGTGGTCCAAACAAATTATTTACTTCAGTAAGATTTAGTGCCTCTGGGCAATGTATGAAGTGAATGTAGCCTTTGCTACATACCATATACAATGCTGTGTTCTGACATTGGGACTGGGACTTCTTGTCCCACTCCTGGAACAAAATAGTCGGGCTGAGCGTTGCTCAGCCATTTCACAGGGATCTTTGTATTCTCTGAATGAAAACAAAGCTTCCTCTGGCTGAGGCAGAGAGATGGGCAGATGATGGAGTGAAGCAGACGTAAGAGCATGGATTTTACATTGTTTGTGAGTATAACCTGCACAGAGGACTGATCAATTAGACTGGCTGCTGCTAGCAAAATCACAAATGTGTACCGTTGAACAAATGTGTGAGCGCAAACATAAAAAATGCTGCGCTGCCTCTCCCAAAAACTACTTTAAATAATTAATTAAACGAATGAACGCCATACTTCACAAAGGGTCCCCACAAATGTGCATGTGCTATAATGCCCCATCGGCTGGCAATTATATCCCGCCTCCCCAGTGACTAAATCCCAAATAAACCAATAAGTAAATACAAGGTGCTTAAACAGCAATTGTGCTAAAAATGGCGCATGTACAATGTCATGAAACTGTGTTTACAGTGAAATTGTATAAAACTCTGTGTGTGTGTGTGTGTGTGTGTGTGTGTGTGTGTGTGTGTGTGTGTGTGTGTGTGTGTGTGTGTGTGTGTGTGTGTGTGTGTGTGTGTGTGTGTGTGTGTGTGTGTGTGTGTGTGTGTGTGTGTGTGTGTGTGTGTGTGTGTGAGAGTGAGAGAAATAATTGTGCAAACATCTAAGAGTTAAAAAAAAAAAAATAAAAAATTGAAAGTTCCAAAGAAATCTGCATCCGGTGTGAATATTAAGTGACAGTAGTAGATCTTCTTATCCATAGCAATTCTCTGTGCGTAGTACTCCCCCTCCAGTGCCCCACTCACCACAGATAATTGACCACCTGGAATGGTAGGTCAAATATCGCATAAGATGTTGCAGCGCTCTCCTGCAGGAAAGTTGGCCGTCTGTGTGATCTTGACACCTCTATACGCTGATGACCGACTCCAGAGTGGAAACACCTCTAGATCAATCGTTTGCGACAAAATGCCTCCAGAATTTCAACAGTACTCCACCACCGTAAAAATATCAAAGGGAAACTTCCATAGCGTAACACCGTATTTATTAGGTAAAAAACATTTAAAATTGCACTTACATAAAAACCATGTGTATGACACTTTAAATCCCAGCAAAAAGCTATTCCTTCTTAGAGGACAAGTGTAGTGCTATCAAGCCCTGCTCTACGTGTTTGGTCGTATGATGTCATCAGGAGCGTGCATTATAGCACACGCACATTTGTGGGGACCCTTTGTGTAGTATGGAGTTCATTCATTTATTTACCGTGTTTTTCGCTCCATAAGACGCACCTGACCATAAGACGCACCTAGGTTTTAGAGGCAGAAAACAGGAAAAAAAGCATTCTGAACCAATGGACTGCAGACATAGTACAGGGGATGACCAGAGACTGCGGACGTATTACAGGAGATGACCAGAGACTGCGGACACAGTACAGGGGATGACCAAGAGACTGCGGGGACAGTACAGGGGATGACCAAGAGACTGCGGGGACAGTACAGGGGATGACCAAGAGACTGCGGGGACAGTACAGGGGATGACCAAGAGACTGCGGGGACAGTACAGGGGATGACCAAGAGACTGCGGACCTTTGGGGAGGGATGGGGAGCGGGTACCTGAATTTGACAGTTGTCCTCCCTTTAGTGTGGGCACCCGGCTGATAGTCGGGTGCCCACTGTGCATGCGCGAGAAGTGCTGCGCTTTGTGATAGGTCCGGCGTCTTCTAGGACCTGTCATGTGTCCCAGAAGACGCTGTACCATTCACAAAGCGCAGCGCTTCTTGCCCATGCGCAGTGGGCACCCAGCTGTCACAGCCGAGAGCCCACACTAAAGGTACCGTTGTGGGAAGACTGTACAGCGCTGGATCGAGGAACAGGTAAGGTTCTATTGCAGAGAAGAGACAAGCGGCCGGCCTGGTATTCTGACGCGGCGGTGGGAATACCGGACTGGCCCCTCAATATTCGCTCCATAAGACGCACTGACATTTCCCCCCCTGTTTGGGGGGGGGGGAAAAAGTGCATCTTATGGAGCGAAAAATACGGTAATTATTTAAAGTCAATTGTGGGAGAGGCAGCGCAGCAATGTTTATGCATTTTACACTGCCTGCTATGTAGCGGTAAGGCTTTTTCATTTTCCGATCTGATATTATCCTAAAGCAGTGGTCTCCAAACTACAGCCCAGGGGATGGATGCGGCCCTTTACTTGCCCTTAGCCCTTGGGACACTTTTTTTCTCCCACTGATACAGGACACTATTCCTCTCATGGACACCAACAAGGGGGCATAGTTCCTGCTACTGACATCAACAGCAGGCACTATTGCTGCCACTAACACCTACCGTGGGGCACTATTCCTTATATTTACACAAACAATTGGGCAGTTCCTCCCACTGACCTTAACAATGGGGCGCTAGACTTCCCACTGACACCAACAATGGGACACTATTTCTCCAACTTACACCAAGAATAGGGCACTAGTCCTCCCCCAAATGCCAAAGATGCATTGTTTACTCCCAATGATGCAGGACAATATCTACTCCTACTGGCCACAGTCAGGCCCCCCTAAAGTCTGAAAGCCAGTAAACTGGCCCTTTTTGTTTAGAAAGTTTGGAGACCCCTTAATTTATTGCTTGGGAAAACATGCAGGCTAAATGGTACTGTAGGTCAAGGTTAGAGACACAATATTTTATGCAGACTTAACTAATAAGGAGTGTAAAGCCTGTTTTCTAAATGGCACTTTTTTTTTTTTTTTTTCCTTCTAGCAAATGCTTCAATATGATTCCAACAAGCGGATCTCTGCTAAGGTTGCCCTAACGCATTCTTTCTTCCGTGATGTCAGCAGGCCTGCTCCACATCTTATTTAGACTAATGCCATATAAAGAAACGTAACATGTAATGGCAAGGCAATGGTTGCTTCGACATGTAAAATAGGACTTAATTTGAATATGATACAGTGTGTGTCATGCCATTCTATTTATTACCCTATACCGCAGTGTCCATACAAACAGCAATTGGAAGGACTGATTATTGTACAGAAGACTGACAAGGTATTTTAGACACCGCTGGTATGCCCCCTTCCAACTGTTTTTCAAATTTTTTCCAATGTATGAGCAATACAGACTTTTTATTCATAAAACTTTGTGCATTATATTTGTATAAACTAACTTGTAACAGTGCTGCACTGTAAAAATGTCATGTACCTAAACCCTCATTGCCTATACACTTTTGGGGCATATTTATTAAAAAACATTTGCATAACAATTTGCCCAGTTACAGTGCATGTGTAGTCAATTGTTCTGTGTGAATGGGGAAAGAAAAAAAAAATTGTTAGGCTATTGCCTGTGAGAGTCGAATGTTTGTTTTTCATGGATTCAAAACAAAAAATACCGCTTTTGCCCACCAGATGGCACAAAGTATCATCTAGTGGCCAAATGTGGTATTTTCCATTTTAAATCAATGAAAACATTCGAGGGGCACAGGAAATAGTCTAATACCACTCTGCTTTTGCCTCATTTGCACACAAATGTATAAGCACTCTCACTGGGTGAATTGCGATGCAAATGTTTTTATAAATACACACCAGTAATAATCTGCCCACATTATCTTTCTGTTGTAGACGTGTTTATTCATCTGTTTACAAGTGGGATCGAATAAGATATTGAGCACATGGAAAAGTTCCGTTTGTGGTCCTTATACAGCACCTTGTTTTTGATAAGTCACCTTTGGTCTAAATCTGCAAAAAAAAGAAAAGAAAATCCGGCAAAATGCTCTTATCCACACCTGTATAATATTTCTCAGAATTAGTTTTCCAACTTGGTGCTTTGTCAACAGTAATTTTTACTGTTTCTGGGTGTATTTACCTGACATACATTCGATTTGGTCCCATCCCATTGTGGGATCTGTCCCCGTTTTATATTTGTGTATTTTTTTGGGCCAGCATTGTATATAAATCACAAGGTATACCCACCATTCCATTTTAATTTTTGCTTACAATTTTGAATTTTCATGTTAGACAAAGTGAGGGTTCCTTTTTATTAAATTGAAGTCTAAGTGAGTTTCACTTGTCTAAGGCTATTGCATGTTCGTCAGATTCTGGGACAATGGCTGTTTGCTTTTCTATGTGACTCATTTCCTGCAGTTAGTATCCTCCTGCTGTTCAGTCCAATGATACTCAGAAGAGATTGTGTATGTGCAGCTTTTCTTCTTGAAGTTGACCTTTCATTTTGCAGTACATTCTGCAAAGAAGGGGTAAACAGCAGACACAACATTTGTGACTCTTGCAAACACTGTATATCTGAAACTTTTTTTGTTTTTTTTTTCAGTTTTGGATGGAATGGGGAATAGTGAGGCTAAATTTCACCAGACCAACTTACTTGGTGACGTGTGGTGTGTGTGTGTGTGTGTGTGTGTGTGTGTGTGTGTGTGTGTGTGTGTGTGTGTGTGTGTTGTGTGGTGTGTGTGTGTGTGTGTGTGTGTGTGTGTGTGTGTGTGTGTGTGTGTGTGTGTGTGTGTGTGTGTGTGTGTGTGTGTGGTGTGTGGGTGTGGGGTGTGTGGGTGTGGGTGTGGGTGTGGGTGTGTGTGTGTGTGTGTGTGGTGTGTGTGTGTGTGTGTGGTTTTTTTTCTTTTTCTCTGGAAAAGAAAGTGAAGGAGAAACTCCCCCCAACCCTGCACAATTACCTAATCTGTCCAAAACTATTAGTGGCCCTGTAGTAGGAAAAAAACTAAGCCTACCCACTACATGGCAGGTATTATAAGGTTTTGTCTATGCAGTAGGTACATACACTTACAGGTTTAAACAATCACTATTCATTTGCATGGCCTGTAGTTTTGTCAGATATTATGAGCAGTAAATGGAGAGTGAGATTGAGCTGCAGACAGTTTTGTGACATGCTCTCTAGATTTGACATCCTCGTTCACAGCCTTTTTTGTTTTGTTTTTTTTCTTTAAAAGCACCCTTCAGCTTCATTATGGAAGTGCTGAATTCCAATCTTAATAGGTGTGCTGGAAACACTTCAAGTGCTTCGTGAGTACTTGCTGAACGGAATGCTCTATAGTGGAAGGGTTTACACTAAATTGATAAAAATAAAACTTATCCATATAAACTGGGCTTTCTTTGTCCTAAAAACTCTCAACACCCCAAAAAATACACACCACAGCACTACAACTAAGACCAGCATTGGCAGTTACTGGTGTCCCCATCAAAATGTTTTAAACATGACAAATACTACAAAATGACTGGTCAACTTGAGGAAGAATGATGTTTTTTGAATAATTGCACATACCTAAAAAAACAAAAATATACAGAATCTATTCTGCACCTTGTTTATAAATTGACATATTTTATGTGATGGATTTTTTTTATGTAGTGTATGGTTTTAGTATGTATTTGTAAGTATGTTGAGTCAATTATTAAAATCTTTTAAAAATTCATAGTACCTAATTTCTACAGAATATGTTGTAAATATAACATCTTCGTATGAACTGATAAATGATCCTATATCTTTGTGCTCTCCAGGGAGGTTCACCCAGCTGCCCCATCCTGCTGTTTTTGAAAGCTGACCGGGTGCTGCAGCAGCTCTGTGGTACTGAATGAACATTCTTTGCCTTGTGGTGTCACTTTTAGCAGTAATGGTGTTTAGATCTTTTTGTTGGCAGGCTGTGTTAAGTCACAGGTCCATTATTATTATTTATATAGCATAATAACTTTACACAGTGTTTTACATATTAATATTATACATTCACATTGGCGGCGCGGGTATAGCGGCATACACGTGCCCCCTACCCGGAAGTACAAAATCGCGTGTATATATAAATGCTCCCAAGGAGCTTATAGCCCTAGCTTAAAGTTTTAAGGACACACACATTAATTTTCCCAATGTCTGCTGCAGTTTTTATGATGGCACTTTACATATACTCCAGACTGTTACGAAGAGTGATCAGATGAATTGCATTTGAAAAGTCCCTCTTTGCCATGAAAATAAACTTAATCCCCCAAAAAAAAACATTTCAGCCCTGCCACAAAAGGACCAGCTGATATAATGTCACCCCTGATTCACATCTGTGCGGGTGGTGCTGCTGCTGATCCGCACAAAAATCGTGCAGCCTCACCACCCGCACAGAAATGCGGACCAACGTGCGGGTGCCATTAATTCTAATGGCATGCCGCCCACACTGGAAATCGCAACCGTACTTGGAACCGAGGTTCCTGTGTGGGCTGTTTTTTATGAAGATATGCAGTGACTTCTTCCCTGCGTGTCCCGGGCATGGGAGTTCATTCAAATGAATGGGCTCTCCTGCCCATGCAAAACATGGCCCACAGGAACACAGAGATGTGAACCTAGCCTCAGTGATTCTTTCATTAACACAGGTGTCATTGTTGATGAGGACAAGGCCGTAGGATGGAGTATAGCCTGGTGTCAAGTAGGGCAGCAAAGAAGTCACTTCTCTCCAGGAAAAACATCAGGGACAGACTGATATTCTGCAAAAGGTACATGGACTGGGGTAAAGTCATTTTCTCTGATGAATCCCCTTTCTGATTTATTTGGGGCATCCAGAAAAACCTTGTCCGGAGAAGAAAAGGTGAGCAGTACGATCAGTCCTGTGTCTTGCCAACAGTAAATCATCCTGAGACCATTCATGTGTGGGGTTGCTTCTCAGCCAAGGGAGTGGGATCACTCTCACAATTTTGCCTAAGAGTACAGCCATGAATATAGAATGGTACAAAAGCATCCTCCCAGCTATCCAAGAACAGTTTGGTGATGAACAATGCTTTTTCCAGCATGATGGATCACCTTGCCATAAGGCAAAAGTGATAACTAAGAAGCTTGGGGAACAAAGCATTGACATTTTTGGTCCATGGCCAGGAAACTCCCCAGACCTTAATCCCATTGAGAACTTGTGATCAATCCTCGAGGCGAGTGAACAAAAAAAAAAAACTCACACAGATTCTAATAAACACCAAACCTTGATTATACAAGAATGGACTGCCATCAGTCAGGGTGTGGCCCAGAGAATGATTGACAGCATGCCAGGTTGAATTGCAGAGATCTTGAAAAAGAAGGGTCAACACTGCAAATATTGATTGTGCAGAAACTTAATGTAATTGTCAAAAAAAGCCTTTGACACTTATGAGATGCTTGAAATTATACTTCAGTATACCGTAGTAACATCTGACAAAAAGATCTAAAAACACTGAAGCAGCAGATTTTGTGAAAAGTAATATTTGCGTCATTCACAAAACCTTTGGCCAGGGCTGTACAATATAAAGTCCCTAACCTTCAGTCAAACATACACATTCTAGGCTTATGGGGACAGTCTGTCCTTCAGGAAAATGGGGAACCTGTTATTTAGTCACATTGATTTTCTAAAACTGGAGAGTGCAAAATCTGGTGCGGCTCTGCAAAGAAACCAATCCGCTTCCAGGTTTTATTGTCAAAACATAACCATTTGTCCGGCAGAGGATTTATCCCCCCATCTGACCAGGCCATTTTTTGCGATACTTTAACTGACAATTGCGCGGTCATGCAACACTGCACCCAAATGAAATGTCCCTTTTTTCCCCACAAATGGAGCTTTCTTTTGGCGGTATTTGATCGCCTCTGTGGTTTTTTTTTTTTTTTTTTTTTTGCGCTACAAACAAAAATTATAATTTTAAGAAAAAAACAATATTTTTTACTTTTTTTTTTTTTTTTGCTATAAAACATATCCAGTAAAGAAAAATCAAATTTTGTCAAATTTAGGCCAAAATGTATTCAATACGTGTAAATTAATTGGTTTACGTGAAAGTTATAGCGTCTACAAATGGCAGTACATATACTGGAATTATTTTTTTTTTTTAATACTTGTAATGGCGGTGATCAGCGAC